TGTATGGGGTGTTACCGGTGATCGGCAGGAGGACGCCGTCGGTGACGTCGGATTTACCGTTCTCTGCTGTTTTCTTTTTAAATGTTCTATTTATCTGTATGTATTACTCACGCTTCCTACCAAGCCCCTTGTTTACTCCTCTTCGTGTGGTGTTAGGCATTAGCGGAGTATCACTCTCAGGGACGCACCCCGTTTCCAAACGGGGGCTGAAGGGGCCTTCTTGGTGACTCCTTCTGAATAACGCAATTGCACTTCTTTTTTTTTTTTTTTTTTTCAGGAAAACTCCTCCTTTTAATGAGTTTGTGTCCCTTGGCAGAAGAAGAGCAGCAAAAGGGCCTGGCAGAGGCCCTCCAAAGGGATTTCCCTGTGCCCCCCAAAGGGAAGGCCATGCCCTGTCCTACAAAACACCGCTGCTCATTTTTCCTGATTTTTCCTGATTTTTTTATTGTTTCTGCTGGCAGCTGCAGCTGACCAGTGCTGGTGGGGGACAGTGCTGCTGAAACACCTTCCCAACTAGCTGACTTCTGAAAACACCCTCACCGTTATATGTTTAGTACTCGGCTCTGATCGTTAATGAGGCCGGTGTTGAAAATGGGTAATTTCTGGTGATCATGGCTTTTCCTCCCCAAAATGTAGTGGGTAACTGGGAGGGTTATTATAAATCAGAAACAGGTCTAGGGAAAGGCACCCGCTGTGGCTCCTCTGCTTGGTGTGTTTGGGGCACAGCAGTGTCCCCTCACGTTGCCCACACTGGGGGGCTTCATGGGTGGCACCAGTGGAGAAGAAATTTGGGGAAATCCCTGCAGCTGCTGCATGGTAAAGGGGAAATCTCTGGAGAAAAAAAAAAAAAAAAAGAAGCAAGATTTTTTTAAAGTAACAGGTATCTGCTGTGTGTGGTTTTCTTTGGAGGCACCAGGCGGGATGGAGCCATGCTCCGCACAAGGAGCTGGCGTGGAGCTGGTGGGATGGGAGCTCCACTTCCACAGCGGCAATGCTTCTGCATCCTTCTGCTCCACGGGTGTCAGCTGGCAGGAGCCTCCAAGGGGGAAAACCAAACCAGCGTGGCTGTGTGTTCCTGCTGCTGTCGGGTACCAGGGAGGGGGGGCCTGGGCCTTTCATCCCTCGCTGGGAGAGGAGAACACTTACCGTCAGAGCATTTTGGCTGCAGAACCACGGGTGTCTGCAGGAAGGTTTGGCAGCCAGGCAAGCCGTCAGTGCTGCTTTGAGCTCACTTGGAGTGAAAATAAAAAGCATCCGGTGCAAAAAGAACGAGCAAGTTTGGGGTTGGCCCCTACGCTCCCAATATCTCTTTTCAAAACACACAGGCTTGGGGGCTTTGGAGGTCTGTGACTTCTCCTGGGGCTTTGGAGGTCTGGGACTTTGGAGGTCCATGGCTTCTGCTGGGATTTTGGAGGTCTGGGATTTTGAAGGTCCATGACTTCTCGGATTCTGGAGGTCTGGGATTTTGGAGGTCTGGGACTTCGGAGGTCCATGATTTCTCCTGGGGGGGTACCTGTAAGTTATTCTCAGTGCAGAAGGACGCAAAGGCAGCCGGGCCGGGCCAGGCAGCACCGGCACCCCTCCCGCCACCGCATCGCTCCGCAGCCCTCCCGGTTTTCCAGGGATGCGGGAAAAAATGGGGGAAGCG